ATTTAACTTTTAGGCTTTATTGTAAAGTCTAAGTATGTTATTTTGGCAGCTTGCACATTGTTATCTTTTCTTCACTAGAAAATAACTTTCATCCCCAGAATTTCTTTCACTTGCTTACAAACTTAAAACTTTTTTTCGTTTTGTGCTTGAGATGATCTGATTTGTTTCTGTTGCTTGCAGACGGGAATTCTGACCGACAGAGAAACAGGAGCCAGCAGTGGTTGTAAGCAGCACATGCAGGGGAAATGGGCTGTGATTCCGCCCTCGAGGTGGTTTTGCTGTTGTGTGTTTCTTGATTGCATGAGCAGTTTCAGTTAACTAACACTCACATAGTACATGTGGTGTACTGTTCAGCCTCTGTGCATCAGTGGCTTTGTGAGTGGAAGTGCTGAGATCGGCTTCATTAGTAGCCTGTGTTACAGATAAGCAAACAGTCACATAAAGGCTGAGATGCCAAAGGCCGCATAGCTAGTTGGGATTACAGGCAGGAGGCGGTACTGGGGAGCCTCAGGCTGTAACTGTCGGGCAGCCACGCTAGAGAGCTACCAGCCTGGCCTGTGATATGGGTGCCACAACTCAACTCGGACTCAGGGCAGACGCCCATGCAGAGAGAACCAGGACACTGCAGGGTGGAGAGAGCGGCTGGAAAAAACAGCAGGATTTCAGTCTGTTACTCTCAGCTAGAGCTGGAAACTGAACTCAGAAGAGATGCTGTAATTAAGCCAACATAGCTTCTGTTTCTAACGGCCTCTGGGCTGCAGGCCTTCTAAATTGAAGTCACTGTGGAGTCTAGCAGGAACTACTGAACACACGCTCTGCTGGGCCTCCTGTCTGAGGACTGAGCTGGTCAGGCAGGGAGGCCCCGCTCACCCACACTGCCCGGAGGCTTCCCTCCACGCAGTCTCTATATTTAAGGTTGCACAGGTGTAATTTGTTTGAAATTTTTCTTTTGATGAATGTCTTGCAACCTGAACTATAAAATTTAAAATACTGTCCATTCCGATGGGGAGGTACCCCGGGCCTGTGGAGCCAGAGCCCCATCGCTGCCCTGGTTACTTTTTATTCTGAGACAGGATCTTACTAAATCACTGAGTTTCCCAGGCCAGGCTCGAACTCCCCGAGTGCCAGGGTTACAGTGTATACTGCCATGTCCAGCTCTGATTTGCAATTTCTGTGTGCTATAACGATAGGAATTAGAGAAGACAATCTTGTTTAATGGTGAGAATTAGAGCTTTTAAGAATAAAAGTCAAGCAGAAGCAATTTAGTGCTATATCCCATAATTCAACACATTACTCCTGCGTTAGACCGGCAATGTCTGTGGAGCCCGGGACGTGTATACCCCAGACTTTCAGCTGACCCCTCTAATAGCCATACTTGGAGCTGCGGATGAAGACAGTCAAGGGCTCCGCGCCTGTGCTGCGCACCCAGGCTCAGGGTCCCGTCGGTGACTGGCTCTCTGCCTTCTCTTTCTGTCCCGCAGCTCTGCTCTAGTTGAGTACGGCTGGTCAGAATGCCCATCATTCATAGCAGCTTCCTGGGCTCCCCCTTGTGTGTATCTTAGTTTTAAAATGCTGGGGAGAGAGGCAAGGGTGTAGCTCAGTGGCAGAATGCTTGCCGCTGTGCTCTGGGCCCTGGGTTCCATCCCCAGTGCCACAAAATCAATGACAGTGACAGGGTTGTGCCCCAGCGGCCGTCGCTGGCACCGACAGCCACCACGTGTTGCTCTGCAGAGCCAGTGTGTCACCCTTGAAGCTGCTGGCTTGGGCCAGGCCAGGCTGGCTCCATTCTGTCCCTGTCACTCATGTCCCCTTCTAGTGTCATCCTGGATTAGCTCTTCCCGTGGTCACAGCAAGCTCGTGTTTTCAAGGTCAGGTCGTATTTACTTGTGTCTTAAGCCTTGTTGTTTTTGATTTGACTCAGTAGAAGTTCCCAGGGAGGATACTGCTTGCATCTCTTGGGGACGTGTTCCTGTTTTTCTCTGGCTTCCTTTATCCTCACTGAGGTCAGAAGCTTGGCGAGTCCTGCTGTCTCTTGTTGCTGGTTCACTGCTTCTTCCGAGCAGCCCAGCCTTTGCGTCGAAGGACTCCTGAGCAGCAAGTGAGTGTGCTGGCCCTGCGTGTCCTGCTTTTCTTGTTTAAGGACTGTCTGACAGCATAGCATCATCTTCTTTGGAGACACTGAAAAGTTCTCGGATTCTTCTAGTTCTTTGGGGCCCCAGTTGGAGGTCAAACCAAGAATATCCTTTTCTGTCTGTCTGTCTGTCTCTTTTATAATAACCGGTTTGAGCACACTCAAGTTGGCATCCACAATGCAACCTCAGACAGAACTGTGCTTTTCTCTCCCCAGTTCTCCTTGGTCTGTGACCTAAATGCCCCTAATAGAGACACTTGGCTGTGAGTCAGACTCTGTGTGTGCCATGGGGAAAGCTTCGGACCCAGAACCCTTCCCGTCTTTGTGCATGGTGTGAGTGGCACAGTCTGTGGTCATTCACTGTTGGTAGAAAGCTCCGCGTTCAGTCTCATCCTCAAGCGAGTTTCCGGCAGCCAGTGGTTAGGAAGCAGACGTTCTGCTTCCTCTTGAAGCTGCTGATTGCCTTCCAGGTGACAAGAAAAAGAAGCCCAACTTCTGCTTAGCCCAAGTCACATGACACTTTTTGGTTCTAGCATGACTCTAAGAGAGCAGTGGGAACAGAGCAGGCCTCCTGAAGACTTACACGGGGCTCTCAATTTTTACTTTTCTGCTGGCTGGAGAAAGTCACGTGATAACCCAAAGTGTGGGCGCTCAGCCCCACCCTGAGAGGAAAGGCGTGAGACAGTGCTGTGGCAGAGGGTGCAGGGTCTGGAGCTGACAGCGCACTAGGCTACTTTTGGTCGGGGTCAAGGAAGAGCGGGCAGTGGCCTTGGAAGCTGTGTTGTTCCCTGACTCATTCAGCTCTTGAACACATCCCAGCTCTGGGCAGCAAGGACTCATTCTGCACGGCGCCAGGAGTCTCCAGACTCCTTCAATTTAGCTCATTGATGTTGAGTGCCCTCTCTGTGCATGGCGTTTTATTGGGTTATAGGGCTTTTAGGAGCATTAGAGCTGCAGCACCGCTGACCGTGGATAAATGCTTAGAAGGTGGTGCAATGGTTCTCATAGTAAAAGTGCTTACGGGCTACAAAGGTTGCCGTAGAAGAGAGGAGTAATCAATTCTGCTTTGCGAGAAGACACAGAAAGCCCGGTGGAAGAGGAGAGTCCTGTTAAATCCCACAGGGTGGAGGAGGCAGCATTCTCTGCAGAAAAGATTCCAAGTCCTGTTTGTGGGAAATACTATAGCCATATCGAGTGCAATTAACATCTCTGGTTTGTGCCCGGAGTTATCCGAGTCCCGAGTAGGTTTGCACTGCCTTCTTCTCGTTATCCATTGCAATTGTTCTTAAACTTTAGAATGCACCAGTGTCCCCTGGAAGGCTCGGGAAGCAGACTCCACACCCTTCTCCAGAACTCTAATAATCGGTCTGGAACAGACCAGACCGAGAGCTCCTGTAGCTGACAAGTTCCCGGTTGACATTTGGTTTGGGGTCCAGAGATAATGTGCTGAGAACTATCGATTTGCTCCTCTTCCCTGGGAACCTGCACATGGCCATGTGGAGAGCGATCAAAGAGAAGAACTTTTCTGTCCCGATGTGGCCTGTGGTAGAACGCCAGGACAGGCAGGTGAACCGTGTGGCTGGGACCCGGGATGGGTGCTGCGCAGCCTGCAGCAGTGTGGCTCTGAGGACGGGCAGCTGACTCAGAGTGAGAAAACCTTTCATCCTGCGCTGAGTTAAAACAAAAAGATTATCAACCCAAATCAGAAAGTACCAACAAATAGAAACGTGAGCATGAATCGTGCTTTGCGTGGGGCTGGTAAATAGATTAATCTTTCAAGTTGCTTTGAAGGAATTTCTGATCAAGGTACTTCAGGCAAGCTTTTGCTCATATAGTTAGGACAACACGGATTTGAATGGGTTTGTGGATAAAACATACCCTTGTGTTTGCTAATTGGTTTACTCATCTTTAGCTGTTTTTTAATGAAGCTAGAGAAAGATGTTGTTTATTTTAATGTGTGATTCTGTTGTTGGGTTTTTTTTTCTTTTACAAAAGACATGAGAGATTTTATAGATGTCAGAATGCGGACAAAACTAGTCAGAGGCAGGGACTGGGAGAGCTGGAGAGACAGTGACACAGCCCAACCCAAGCTCGAGCCCAGTGCCAAGTGCACGCGTGTCATCTGGAGGGAGGCTGAAGCAGTAGCACCTTTTCCTCAGGCGTAGAACTCGGCAGGAATGGAGTACATTTTGGGGCCGTGGACCTGGGCTGGGCCATGGTCTGCCTGGTGGGGAGTCAGTAAGAACTGACCATGGGGACACTAAAAGCAGGTACCCGATTGATCAGTCAGTTGAGTTCTGTGCCCAGCAGACCAGGGGCACCTAGAAGACTGGCCCAGATGCTGGGCTGACTCGATGTGAGGCCATCTTGGCAGTGAGGACTTTGCATCCTGTTGGTGACTCGGGCCTGGACAGTGCAGGCCCTGTGTAAAGGGACCTTGCCTTCACAGGAACCTCGGGGCGTCTGAGTACCTACTGGCTTCCTTTTCCAAATCCAAGCATATGGCACCTCCATCCTTTCCACAGTTCTGGTCCCAGGCCGACCTGGACTCGAACTGTATCGAATTTCCCCGTAAGCTCTACACTGACCCTCACCGTTGGGTTTGATTTGGTTCACGTCCAACTCATTTTGTGAGCAGAGTTGTGAAAAGTTCATGCCCAAAGCTATGGAAACTCTTCACTTTCAGTCTTGTTCCTGTGGCAAAGGCAGTGAAGCCAAGGAGGCATTGTAAACGGGATGTGTAAGCTGTAAAATGGCCCGAGGTGGTGCACTTTCATTGAAGATGAAGTTAGTGAAAATTGTTGGTCTCTTAGTTGTCTTGTTTGTAGTGTAATTTAATTAGTAGTGAAATGTATATCCTTTTTCTTAGCATACATCTGTGGATGAATACACCGAACCACACGTCCCGCCTGCCAAATCCGCGAGCAGACAGAACATCCCCCGGAGCAGAAACTCCATCACCTCGGCAGCAGACGAGCAGCCTCACATCGGAAACTACCGCCTTCAGAAAACCATAGGGAAGGGGAACTTCGCCAAGGTGAAGCTGGCCAGACATGTGCTGACTGGCAGAGAGGTGAGCTTCCGTGGTCCTTGTTCCCTGGACCTTCTAGGCCTTGTGGGGAAGCATTTTTTGTCAATGTTGGGCGATAAGCATCAGGTGCAGGGCAGTCAGCACTGAGCCATGGTAACCAGAACATGAGCAGGAGGATCCAGCATGGCGCGAACGTTGGCCTTCCGACATCCTGCAAGGGATCCTCTCGAGCATCAAGACCCCTTAAAATGAGCTTTCCTCGGGTTCTTATTGGTTTCTGCGGGCATTTCTTCTTACCTTGCTACTCAATCTCAGGAACAAGATTAGGATAAATTCTTATTTATGACTGAATAAGGTAAGCTAGATATAATAAATGCAGAAAAGTCACAATTTTTATCTGTTTAGCAACACATTGCTACACAGATAGTTTTCTCTGGCCATAAGGGAATTGAATTCTAAAATTGCATGTACAAATACAATAAAAATGTACATAACTGTGTATCCATGTAGTGATACCTTGATTCATGAACTCTGCCGTCTGTGAACAGTTTGGTTCACAAACAGAAGCCTCTTGCAAAATTTCATTTTCGTTTGTACACTCCGCATGGAATGGTGAACACGACCGCAGTCGTCTTTCCCACACCAGCAGAATGTGGCCATGCGTCCCAGAATCATGGAATAATTTACACTTGTGAACCGAGGTGCTGCTACACGTGTGTTGTATATTTATGTCCGTAAGTTGGAGTAAACACTTTATTTAAATAAATATTCAATATTTTGCATTACTTAATGTTTATTGAACCTATTAGGCCATTATTTTAAAAATCTCACCCCTAAAATGCTTTTATCGTGTTTTCTCTCTGCTCCATGCGTGGCCTTACCGTCATCTCCGGTTGAATTAGTCCCTTCTGTCCATTCTGACCTTGGGCTGTTCAGACCCAGCGACTGAGGCAGAGCCTTGCAGGACATTCAGATCCATTTGTCACTTTGCTACGAAGAAGCTTGGGTGTCCAGCTGCTCTACCCATGTAGTCATTATTTTATTAATGTAATTTTTAAATGATTGAAAGTTTAAAAGACACTCTTCCCTATATTTGTTACTTAGCAAGATCATGAGCTCAAATTACAGGGTGATTTTTACATTATACAGGGAAACACGAAATAACAAAGGCTGAACTTCATTGGCTGGGGATCAAATAGGTTAAAGAGGGGTCAATGGACTCTATTCTGATGCTGCTAGATTATCAAAACTTTGCCATCAGTTATGTAAATGCTCAATTAGAACTAAACTGAATGTAAATAGAAATGAAATAAAAGACTTTTCTAAGTTTTTATTCATTAAAATATATAATCTCAAATATAGCTTAATGATTCTGTTTTTCAGGTTGCCGTGAAAATAATAGACAAAACTCAGCTAAATCCTACCAGTCTACAAAAGGTATTTAATGAATTTCATAAGTAATTAAAGTGCGTTTATCATGAATAGGTAATGTATATGAAGTCAGTCATATGAAACTTTTCCATAGGTATAGTACTGCATGTCACCAGTATATTGATTTTTAGGCACATTATTTATGGCTAATCAGATATTTGCTTGAAAACTATTATGGGTTGAGTATGTCTTACCTGAAATGCGTGGGACCAGAAATGTTGCAAATTTTAGAGATTTTTAGAGTTTGGAACATTTATATAGACTTTATCGGAATGTATGAACCATATGATAGGAGAGTGTCTCTTTTAATTAAGACCAAATCTTCATGTCCAACATTTTGAAGCAGTCAGGACTTTTCTTGGTGAAAAATGGAGTTATGAATTAGTATTGTGCGGAGGCGGGTTTCTTTCATTGCTTCTCTTGGCTTCTTTCCTTCATAAGAACTCATCTGTCAGATAGCTCACTGTTAAAGATAGGAATATTTCTTCACAGGACAGAAATATAAAACAGCAGACAAGAAACAGGCTTGGATGTTGCAGGAAGCAGAAACTTCCTAATTCATTAATGGTTTCGATGGAAAAATGTGTCCAGATCCACATTTTAGTACCTCAAAAATGAAGCAAATATTTTAGTGTTCAGGCCACACATACTATGTTTGTGTATAGTAAGTTATACATTATGATTTTTAAAGAAAAAAATAGGATCAGAGTCACATGTAAATAAGACATAAAGGATTCCTAAACCAGAGATCGCATGAGAACATTTTAGTATGGTGTGTTTAACTACATCTGCCATAATTCTCACATTAGCTTTAGAATTTGGGTCGCTGCTATCAAACTTTTCCTTTTTACTTGGCTCCATGCTGGGTAACTTGGTGTATTTTTGTACATTTCTCTTTAGAGATTTTTCTTTTAAATTTGACTACCAGCATAACTTTTCCTGGCCCTGGTGTTTCTGATCAGTGAGAACATGGAAGTCTGCTGGATTCTTCCCCTTTGGTGAAGTGAGATAACATAACATATTACGGCCTTTTCCAGAGAAGGCTGGGCCAGTCTTTCAGCTCGCTGGTGTGCATTTGTGTGAGGAATGAAAAGCCATTCTCCCCGAACTGCAGGATTATTCAGAAAGGGCTTAAAAAAAAACAAAACCCATGCTGAAGCCAGCATGGAACAGACTTTTGCCCTCCTGTGTGCCGCGGGCCCTTGTAAAAGGCCGGTCTGCCTGACGGTCCACACTGTGTCCCTACCTCGTCGGCTTTGTGCTTTTCCTGCATCAGGCCGCACAGCACATTGCTCTGGTAAACAGTGACTTTAGGTAACAGGCGCCTCACTGGGACCCCAGGAGTGTGGCCCCGACCCTCTTTCTCTCAAGAGGCCCACAGAGGATCATATAACCATAGTTTTGCTTCTTGAAAGGTGAGAACGTGACACTGCGTATTGCTTTATTTATCTTAATCACTAAAAGATTTGCTTGTGGGTGATAATAATTTCTGTTAAAGATTCCACTAATCATTGCAGACAAAGTGTCACTTTTCCAAGCAGGCTCTAACTTGTGAATGCAAAAGCAAAAGAAAGATTAAGATTCAGTAACTGTGGCCAGGACACTGCACATGTGGTTGTCTTTTAAATAACTTATATTTATGCTCATACATACGCTCTCTGGGCCAAGCTTTTTAGGAGAAAAACAGATCAAAGCTCGACTAGGTAACATGAGAGAACATTTGACCCTCAGCCTTACCCATGTAGTCAGGAGCACCCCAGTCAATCACCCCGCTCTGTAAGGGTGGAATGAAGTGAAATCCACTGGTTTTTCTAAGCACTGTCAGCTAAGTCTCACAGATAAAAATAGTAAACTATGCCCCCAATAAAGGCAGAGATGATAGGAGTTTAAGAGTCCATTTTAACCTCATTTCAGAAGATTTTGGTTAAGTCTTGTGCTGGTTTGATGTGTTTAAACTGACCTCACGCTTGCTCGTTGGATGAGCTACAGGAAGTGTTACCCTCCATGCCAGCATCAGTGGTAAAGGAAAGAGTTTCAATTTGAGATTCCAACAGTTTAAAAACCACTAAGATGTAACATTCTTAAAATAGTTTCTCTTTGGAATGGCTAAGAATCTTCACCATTATTCTGTCTCCTCATGTGCTCCTGTATCGGTGCCACATACTTTAAATAAAACAAACCTCGTTGGCAGAGTTTCTTTTTTCCCACTTGGATGCTGCATTTTCCTCAGTTTTCATCGTTATGCAGGCACATTCGCAGTGCAGAGTCGTGACATTTCCTGTGGGGGGTGGATGTGTGTGGTGACACATCTTTATTCATTCTTTATTCTGTATTCATTTTCCCTCCTCTCTCGCACCCTCCCTCCATCTCTTGGTCCCCTCCCATTTGAGAAGCATCTGCCTCCCTCCCTGTTATCTGTCTTTAATTTTGCTCTTATGCTTTGAGTTTTTCAAGTAGAAGGAATCATGTAATATTTAAGCTTGTGTGTCTGATTTAGTTCCCTTCCCATTATGGTCGCAAACCACCTATTTTTCTACAAATGATTCAGATTTATTCTTCTTCTTGGCAGAGTACTACGCCACTGTACATAAACATCACATTTTCTTCATTTGTTCATCTGTTGATGGACATACGGGCTGCTGCTAAGGTTTAGCTGTTGTCAATTGTGCTGCCGGAAAAGGGTGTGCGTGGGTCACTGGAATGTGAGGTCTTTAACCAGTTTGGGAGATGCCGGAAGCTGGATCCAGTGGAATTTCTAGTTCTAGTTTCTGGAGAGCTCTCCAGATGGCTGCCTCAGGCTACACTCCCACCACACCGTGCGCGGGATCCTCAGCCGAGCTGGAGGCAGATGCTGTGTTTCCTTGTTCCTTGAACCTGAGCCCCAGCCTTTGGGGAGTGGCTTGTGACTCTTTCAAGTCCTCGCTGCAGATCTTTTAAGCAAGCTGTGACCTTGAAGGGAAAGAAAAGCAACTGCACAGTGTTTCATAGCTTGTAACTTTCAGGCGTGAGAGGAGTTATCTTCTCCGCAGTTCCACTCCCACTGGCATGGGCAGAGCTCTCCTGCATGGCTGGCAGCGCGTATGAGTCTCCATCTCCCCAGTGCCAAGGCATTCCTGCTGACCCTGTGTCTCCCATGCCTCGTGGTTTGTGGGTGTTTTCGGTGTTCACTGAGTTGTGCAGCACATGAATCTGTCAGACATAACTCGGCAGAAGCAGAGGTGTAAAAACTTTCAACAACTAACCTCTTAAAATTAGGTCTCAGTGAGCAACTAATCCACTTACTACCTGTGTCAGTGCCCCAAAGCATCTAAACTTCTGTGTTTTCAGGTAATACGCAGACTCTGTGCTGGCAGAACGTCTACAGAATAATCTCTACCATCTTGAAAATTGGATCACTTAAACTAGACAGGACAGCACAGTCGCAGAAGCCACGTGCAGAACTCAGCATCTCCTAGGAAATATCCCTCCATAAAGTTTGTAAGAGCAGTCACAAAATCCCTGGCAGATAATTTTATTATCTCTATCAAGTAGAGACAGAAGTAGCTTGTGTTGATTTTGCTTAACAGGTGTGTGGGTTGGAGTGTGTTGAGATATCTGTTAATCTCGGTGTGCTTCCTGGCACATTTGACTTTATAGCCCATTAAGCCATTGTGTGCTGAGTATTTCCTTTTATATTTATATTTATATTTATATTTATATTTATATTTATATTTATATTTATTGTTTTGGTACCGGGGATCGAACTCATGACCTCGTGCTTGCCAGGCAGGCGCTTACGCCACTGAACTAAATCCCTGGCCCATACTGAGTATTTCTTCCAGACAGTTCTTGTCACATACATGTGTACTGTTTGAAGGAAAAATTGTGTCCAGTTCTTATGCAGGTAAATGAAAACCCAAGCGATGAGAGGAGTGTTATTTTGTCGGTGGTGATGAAATCCCTGTAGGGTTTAGTTGTTCTTTCTTTTTCTTCCTTCATTCTTCCTCCCTCCCTCCCTTCCTTGCCACAACCCGCATGGCTCTTGAGGTTCTTGGGGTGAAGAACCCCGACAGGATGAGAAAATAAGGAGAGGACAGTGGCTGTTGGTTGGTCCAATGGGAGTGAAGGCTCCGCTCCCCGCTGCAGCACCTGTATTTACACATGCAGGAGGAGGTCAGCATGAGCTGCCCAGTGGCCCGTCTGCCTGGCTGGCCGAGACCCCGCCTTCCTATTGCTCGAGCAGCTTGTTTACCTGGCTTGTTTCGGGCTCTGTGTTTGCAGGGCTGGCCTTGCTGTAGCCCCAGACTGTAATCAGTCTCCACCTTCGAGGGCTCCCTGCCCCTCCTCCCTCAGTTATTTACTTGTTTGTTTCTTTATGGTATTCTCCAATAACATTTCCACATGAAGAGGACTGTACCTGATGCCTGGACCCTCACTGCTTCCTGCTCCATGAAATTCCTGGTCAGCTAAAGCCACCGTTTACTTACCCAGACACGGGTACAAGCAGTGAAAGGACCCAGATGCATCTGCCTCACCTTATGTATGAAAGCACGCTCAGGAACATGATTTAAACTCAGCCCCGTGGACTTTCTCCTTAGGACTCACGGACAGGGCCAGTTAGGCCTTCATCTTCCTCCTTTCCCTGATCATCTGTTATTCTAACTTGGAATTTTAAAAAACTTAATAGGAATAAAAGCAAAATAAAAGGGGATGAGAAGAAGTGTAATGGTTAGACGTGTAAGCTGTGTTACGGTTCAAACTAAATGTCATTAAACCAGATGCATAAATTCCTAATCTAACGAACATTTATGAAGGAAGATTTTATTTCCCTGCTTTGTCTGGCTTTCCCTGTCCTGTTTCCTTTCAATAGGATGATTGTCCTTTTGTTGGCCACTAAGGTTTGAAGTTTTTCAGGCCCTGTTTCTAGCCTGCCCCACCTGTTCTCTTCTCTGGCAGCCTCAGAGGTAACCGTGGTTTAAACCATTCCCTATAGGAAAGCGCACAGATGTTTCTGTTCACCTCAGACC